CACACACACACACACACACACACACACCAGTGACTCCTGCAGGCTCTCTGCAGCAACAAAGCAAACAACTGGTGAAACTGACAGTGAGTCTGCTGAGCTCCCAGTACTACTTCTGAGCGCAGCCCCTTTTCAAATTCAAAATACCTTTGAGGAAATGTATTTTCAGATGTCAAGTAAACTACACCACAGCACCCCCCCACACACACACCACCACCACACACACAGGTTATAAACAGCAGAGCCCTGTAGAGAGAAGCGGATGTGATGCTGTACTGAAATGGGCGGGACAGAAGTGGAAGGTGGTTCTTAAAGCGACAGAGGCCAATTTCAAGGTGTTTAGAAGAGGAAATGATGAGAAGAAGAGTTTATTTTCTATTTAAACATTAAAACAGCATTTTAATAACAGCTAAAGGTGACATAGATACTTTATTATGGTATAGTATTTAAATATATGCCTGAGAAACACATAATATTGCCCCTTTAAAGATCTACAGTGGTGATGAATGTATAGACTGTATGTACTAGTGATTTTTTTACCCTATTTTTATCACAGTAAAGATATTTATACTATAGTTTGTGTTATCTGAAAGCAGAAAGTATAAACTGCTGAAATAAATGAAGTAAACCAGCTACATCGGGTTTATGATGGTTGTACCAAGAATGCTGCAGAAGATGAACCCATTGTTGAGACAAATGTGTTCGTATTGTTTTGTTTTCTGAAAACAAAAAGTTTTCTCTAAGTATTAAGAACATTCTATAAAACATGTAAACATGTAGTGATTCTGTGAAACACCAGGTCAGGGCCTTTAGACTTCAGTGAGATACTACCTTCACTGTTGGGTTACTAAAAACCTCTACACAAACATACCTTGCGTCCCACTTCGTTGTTGTGTAAATTCATGAGCGTCCTGGCATTCTGCTTGATCTCCCGGGCATCCACAAACGCCTTAGAAAACCCCAGGCCATAGTGGACGTCTGCAGAACAGCCCCCCCACTTCCAGCCCTCCTCTTGGTTGTAGAGGCCCTGCTTCTCCTTGTCGCAGCTGCAGCCGCTGAGGCTCCCCTGCGTGCAGGCCGTTGTGACTGCATGAGCGACACCGGCAGCTATGATGGCGTAGGTGAAGGCAGCCTCCTTACTGCCTGGGACAAACAGAAAACACATCTTTAGTAACAATTTCACACAAGTTCACCGGTTCAGGAACTGTCAAGCCTCTTTTCATACCTAGCATAGCTGCTTCCAAACAAATGATGAAAAGTTTGAGCCAAGCCAAGTCCAATTCATTAATCAAGCTCTCTTGAAGCAGATAAACCTCATGATGAAGCTCTGAATCATGTAAAAATGGGTAATGGAGCTGAACTGAAAGCATTTGTAGGACAACAGCTGTTTGACTAAACTAAAGTAAACTAAGTAGTGATTATATTTGTTGTTGGGGTGTAGTGTGACTGTTAAACACCTGCTGAACATGGAGTGGTTTCATGTAAAAAAGAGGGAGACTAAAGGAGGTTTTGCAGGACTTTTAGCCTTTTCCCCAGCAGCCGTCCTGCTGGCTTCCTCTGTGTTGAGGTGAATCTGAGAGGCATGCACGGCCTCCCTACATGGAGATATTTCCACCTCATAAATCTGAGCATTCAGCCCAACTGCACTTTGCTTTTTTCATTCAGACAGAGATAAGTCCTGCTGGAGAACACATGGAAAACACCGGGAAATGGTTAATAAACACAAGGAAAGTGTGATCACTAATCTGTGATGCTCTATTTACTTACTTACTTATTTATTTATTTATTTATTTATTTATTTATTTATTTATTTATTTATTTATTTATTAAAGTAAAAGTAAACACATCACACAACTGTCTTTACAGATAAAATGGGGAATGTTTTATCTTCTCCTCACATCTAAAGAGAAGCTAATTCACGATTCTAAGTTGATGAGTGAGGTTGATCCCGATGCCCACTGCAGCGTGACTGCCAATAACAACCTCACACTCATATATTCTGTCAGACGTCAGCGTTCCAGTCCACTGAAACCAAACAATACATCCAGACACTGCAGGGCAGCTAGACCTGAGCAGCGCTCGTCCAGGAGCAAAGACCCAGTTTCTTTTAAATAAACTGAGGTAAAATCTGCATCCTGCAGGGCAGGAATATTTGCAATCAGCTGATTTAAACCTGATAACAGGCAGAACATTTCTCCTTGATGCAGCACTGGAACGAAATCATTAGAAATTCTAAAGCATCGTCTGCAAAATGTGCACAAAAGCTGCGTGTTTAAACTTGAACGCAGGGAGGGGAGGCGGTATTTTAAGCACATTCATGGAGGTGATTTGGCTGGAAGTAGGTCTGTATGTCCTCCAGCTGGTGTTCATATGAAACTGATTCAGACTAACTGTTGGTGGCGGAGTCATTCAAGCTGCGTTTGTAGCTCACGTCATGCAACACTGCTGCAGTCAAAGCTCAGGTGAGATGTCAGCTGTAATCCTGCAGGTGAAACATGACGCCAAGGCTTTTTGTCTGTGAGATGACAGGATAAAGTCTACAGGAAGAAATGATATTTCCACAGGTCCGACTCTGGAGTGAGCGTAGCCTCCAGTCTTATTCCACACACAACCGGAGTTTCCCACAGAGCAGCTGCTAAAAGTCAGAGCATTAAAAACATCCAGGGACCAGTATTAAAGCTGCTAATTTCTGCACTTACGAAAAATCTTTTTTTTTAAGTAACTTAAAGTTAGAAATCTTAAGATTTACCCAAAAATAAACAAATAAATGGCAGACACAAACCAATAAACAATATATTGTTGAATATTTGCAACCTGAAATAAAAAGTAGTAAATCTAAACAACCTGTTGTTTTTCTTTAAAATCCAGCTTTAATTTTGAAAATTTTGTTTGGGCAGGAACACAAAGTTGAAAGAAATATCGGCTCACCCTAAAAAGTAAAACTTACACTCACCGGCCACTTTATTAGGTACACCACGCTAGTAACGGGTTGGACCCCCTTTTGCCTTCAGAACTGCCTCAATTCTTCGTGGCATAGATTCAACAA